TTAATTGTTCAGTAGATGGGGTGTAGTCACCACTTTTAAGATTTCCCCGTCATGGATAATTAATTGCCGAACTCGAACATAACCGTGCCAAGCGCCCAACCACCCATCCTGGGTAGTTGGTGCGCCCCACCAAACACAAAATTTCCAATTTATCATCACTTTTGTACCTATTTTTCACCACACCACGATGTCAGACCGAACCAAAAAAATGGAAACCCAAATCCAGCTTGCAGTCAAAGCCTTCTCCCAGGCTAACAAGCCTAACATCGCCCAGCTAGCGCGGGAATTTGACGTACCATACCATCGGCTTAAGCCCTAAGCCCTAAGCCCTTCGATATCTCCTTTATAATAGAGTGCTTAATCTTGCTGGCCGTTCTTTAATATTCGTAGCATTTCGCACTTTGCAATAGAAACCCCGAGGGTTGAAATTGAATACCCTATAAATAGTTAGTGTATAAACTATCAAAATACGCAGGGGACTCACAAGGTCCTTTATCAAAGTCTAGACTTGGATCAGGATTATATCCTCGATCACAAGAAGGTCCAATACAGAAAGATCGATCAAGTTCATCATCAAGGGGCTTGTTTAGTTACTCTATATCCGTTCGAAGATACAGTCCTCCATAAGCAGGGAAATGAATAGCTGATAATTGAGCCTCGATCTGGGTCAAGTTTCTAATTAACTGTAGCTAATCAAATTCGGCCATACTACCCTAAACTTAAAGTGGTGGAACACAAGCGGCTTTCTCTAATGATGATATATTCTGCATCGATGGCATTCGAGTTATTCGAAGACCAGGTAAGAACACGAGGGATGGGGATACTAGTGTGTTTTCTAACTATTTTATAGGATATTAGCCACTAGAAGTAGAATTATACCAATACAACGTACAGTATTCGAGAGCGCCGACTTCACCAGCTATCGTTAAGGTAGGCGGGCCGGCAATATGACAAGGAATTTTCGCTATCACTTCGGATCCATTTTCCTCTCTCATCAAGAAAGCCTTGCTGAAACCTCCTTTCATTTAGTCAATAGCTGTGACCGGACTAAACTTTCCGCCGACTGTTGCAGTAGTATTGCAAAGCTCATCCACATCGAATCGGACATACATTCTGTTTAGCTGGTATTCTTCGTTGGCAAGAAAATGGCCATTGGTGTAAGCGAAAAGCTCCTCCTATGTAATGGATGCACCTATTTGAACAATCAGAAACTGAAAGTAGCTGCCTTTGCACTAAACCCCTTTCCCTTCTTACCTCGACATGTTATCGATAAAGACGATCTAGATCTACTATATCGATGTGTAGTAAAATTTCTGAGCGCTCTTAGCATTTTGAGAGGAAGTGTTCAACACACACGTAAAAGAAAGAGGTAGGTAGGTAGGTAGGTAGATTTAATGAACGCCCGGCAGGGAGCAAGCTTTCGCTTGCTCCCGCGACCTCCCATGGGGTATTGGGACGTGCAATACTATGGTTTCTATTATACAAAGATCCTTCTCCACAGATTGCAGTTCATGCATTCGTAAATGCGAGGGCTGAGTAGCCAGTTGGTGACGGCTGTCTCCGATGTGTGAGCCGGCCATCATGGGGGTGAGGGTCCCGGGGGGTCCAGGTGTGTGATTGGCGGGTGCCAAGAGACTTTGTTGAGGATACAAATGAGTGAGTTACCTCGTGCAGACCCGCGAGCAGAAGCTTGTGAGCTCCAGTAGTTCAACAAACTGCTTGGGGTCCAGGCTGCGAAGGTAGGCGACTGCCTCTATCCCGTCGGTTGGAGATGTCGGGGGGCGTTTTGGCCAATGTCGGAAAGACCTCTGGGTTTTGTGGCAGAGAGCGAGGTGCTCTGGTGACTTTCGGCGGCCGCATGAGCAGTCGAGTTTGGCGTCTTCGTGGTTGAACTTGCGGTGGTACCAGTCGAAGTCGCCATGCGACGAGCGGAGGGCAAGCCAGCGGTGGAGCGCTGGTCGTCGGAGTTCGAGTTCCGGCAGTGAATCAATCTCGTAGGTGTCTGACCAGCGTCGGTACCACTGGGAAAAGAAAGAGGTGATCGAAGGAATGCCGGTAGAGAACTTGTAAGGGTCCACCCCGGGTCCACGCCTACACCTCTAAGATCATACAATCGTGCCAAGCGCCCAACACACCTTATTATTGCACCTGGTATTCTGACAAACACTTCGCAGTCAAGATTGGGTATTCAATCCCGCCTTTGAAAGCTGAGAACATAAAGTGTGTTGCAGCCGATAGCAAGGTTCCTATGCCAAAGGTTTACGCTAACTTTATCGACCCAGAGACCCAGAAAAGATATATCGTTGTGGATTTTGTCCCTAGCATAGACTTGCAAAAGTTACTGCCGTCGCTCACCCCAATCGAGAAGACAACGATCAGTAAGAGGATCAAATAGGCGATCAATGAACTGCGAATATTGCTATCACCTGACTACTTTGGGAACTTGAATGGGACGCCTTATATCGACGGTGTTCTTTCAACTCCTGACAATAACCCAGTGATTTCTAGGCCATTCAAGGATCAGAAGCAGATGAATCAAGGAATACTAGAGAGACTGGGCCAAACGCAGTCACCGCACTACATTCGATTGTTGAAAGAAATGATTAGCTGCACCCTCAAGAACCTTCGAATTATTTTCACTCATGGAGACCTGCAATCAAAGAACATAATTGTGGAGCGAAGCGGGGTCTCCGGTGATAGAGACGCAGACTTCAAAGCAACACTCATCGATTGGAATCTATCAGGATGGGACCCCGAGTTTTAGGATTTTTGTAATTCAGCGTTGTATTGCCAGATGAAACCGGATTGGCTCGAGCTCATCCCGGACACATTTGACCAATACCCGATAGAATACCTAACGATGCAAGTGATCTACTCATCGATCTTTAACTAATGGTAGATTGGGAAAACTTCATTCATTCTCTGCATTTGCAATTTCTTAGCACTCAGGATCAACCCCACGACTTTTTTTTTGAATGTCACAAATCAGAGATGAGAAATCGAATAGAATGAAGCTCTCATTCATACGGTAGGAATGACGTATTTGATGCGGGGACAGGAGGAAAGAAGAAAGGCAACGGAATCGAGCTCAGACTGTTGCAACTCAGATTCGTGACATGTTGGAAGATAAGTTCAGGTGGAGAAAGAACATATTTTTCAAGGGCCGAAGAATCAGCACTCGAGCTTTCGGTTTCATTCTTTCAGAGGTTGTACCGTGACAAGTGGGGTTACCGGAATTACATCATTCTACCGCTTCAAGGTGCCCTTTTCAAATGCCAATTTCTGAACATCTCCTAACCAGTCTCCACACCGATAAAGGGGTGTACCAGGATACAATTGCTTGCCCCCGAGCGTCAACTGGGCCCGAGGCGCCTCGACTGCTCTGCAGCACTCCGTCTCGAATCTGGCCAAATCTGCCTGTTCAATGGATCCACTCAATCTCTTTGTGGCTGGGACAGAAGACGCCGACAACTCAGGGTTAAAGGAACCTCTTGGGTCTTATTTCATACCCTGGAGCAAATTTCCAGTGAGATGATAGAGACATCCTCCTTCAGACATTCGTGGGGCGGTGGGGTTAATTTCAATGTAAATGGCCTCATGGCTAGGCGCACCAAGGTCTTTGGCCGTGTATACACTGAAAGACCTATTTGAAGATGTTTAAGATGTTGTGGTACTAAGAACGGCTGTCGAGGTCTTGCTGATGAGAGCTGCTACACCCGTACAAGTCTCTTTACTTACATGTTGAACAGAAACACGAAAGACCTCATCATGAATAGTTGGGTATTGCATGTGTCGGCGTGCATGGAAGGTACCGTGCGCCAAAATGCACGTTTGACACTGATTGGAGTGTATATCAGAGGTGTACATGTTAAGCTTTCACGCGCAGGTTGCAATGCACGGCGAGACGCCCATCACGAAGCCGCTGAGCCCTGCCGGATGATTCGAATTTATGCAATATCTTGAAACCTGCCATTTAGAAGGTGAATTGGGGCACGGCCCCCCACGACCTGTGTTTCCCGTAAGATCTTCGGCAGCCGATTGGGACCGGATTTGAGAATGCTTATGAAGACATCTATATGATTTTACCGCTAGAGTTTCCTCCTTTAGTAGCATCCGGCAAAATGCTTTGTCACGGGATGGTCAATTGACCATCCCCCGACCGCCTTGCCCATATGTATTGCCATTAGCTAGCTCATAGGAATAGCATCCTTTTTTTTAGCATCTCCCATAACATGCATTCTGTCGAAACCCATGGTGCAATCCATGGTTGAAAACAGGGTGGAGTACCCGGAAAATCCATAGACCGCCATGTTGGTGTGGCCTACCCAAATTGTATGTCATGTTTAGTCAGCGTTGTCCGCGTAGATTGAAAAAGAGCGGATTTCCCCTTTGCGGTGATATCACTTCAGGCAGAATTGTGAGACGGGTAGGGGTGGATGCTCCTGGGAGTTCTCTGAGTTCCCCCCCCTAGCTCAAGTACATGATAGGCTGAGAAAATTTCCTGCGAGCCTTATTTCTAGAATTATAATGCAACACAGGCTCCTGGGAGCGTGTGGTGGTCAATCAATCTCATTCAACAATGGCGAAAACAAATTGACAGTATACGCTCGGACAGGCCTTCTCATTTGTACACTCATTGGAAAGAAGAAGTATTAAACTGATCTATCTCGTTGCTGTACTGATCATAAAATCCCTCGGTTTATTTTGTTACAGGATAATATTGTAGACCTCTCAAGTCGATTCGCACACTCGCCATCATCCTACCAGAGGTTTAATCCCGAAGGGTCATTGTGGGGCAAATTAATGAAATGATCCTGGGAGCAAAGCTGGAAGTGGGAGGTCGACAGGTCTAGAGCGAACGGTCGCATGGACGACGCAACTTCTTTTTTTTTGATAGGACAATGGGGGTGATTTAGAGAAAAGCCGCACGTGATGTGACTAGCATGGATAAGAGCCAGAAATATAGCGGTGGTAAGCAAAGGACATTCAACTCGCAGCCAGCTTGTGGACATCCCATAGATCGATGAGGATAATAAATTACAACATGGAGACTGAAGCTAAATCGAAATCTTGCATGTCACTCTATGTATGTTATGTGGCAACGGGAGGACCAAAGGGGGAAGCTGACCAACGAACATCTGACCAAAAGCCAAATTGAGGAAGACACATTTTAAGCCAAGCCTCCTGTCTGGAAAGAGGCTAGGAGAATTACGAAATAGGGCATATTAACAAATGAGCCACATCATCCAAGTCCCCATTAACTAGATTAGTCTCAAATTTTGGGCGCTAAGAAGCCCCTAGATGAGATTAAGGTGAGATAGATTAGGAAACAATCGACCCTTTTTTTTTTTTAAACTAGTGTTCACTGTAGAGTGGGGAAGAGGCACAACGACGCAGCATGGCAGGTAGGGAAACCCAATATCAAATTATCCATGTCATAGTGGTGTGATTTGGGAATATCTTTGATCTTCAAAGCTCCAAAAAACTCGTCAGCAGTGGATCCTACGTTCTGATTGGGCCTAGTGGGGTTTCATTATGAGACGAGAGCGGTGTCTAAGCTGATTGGATATATTTAGCCCTGGGTGGCTTGAAAGGCGTTCTTTGGGTGTTTGAGGAATGTGGGATTGCATAGATTTATAGATATGGAACTGGATCACATGTCCATGTTCAACACCTTGTAACCACCTAAACGGATCTTAACCTTCCTATTTATATACATATTAGCCTTTTTAACCCGGTTAATATTTGTTAATATTTGTTATGTGCTAGATCCACTCAATCCCCGACTCCGCTGCGGCAACTGGTACCTGCGGAGTATCGCCAGGCCTACTTCTCCCCCCCTGGTACTTTCTGTTCTTCTTACCATCTGTCTCAGGCTGCTGGTCCAGCTTACAATACCAATTTAATCCACGGAGTCCGAAGTAGTTGCTTTTTTTTCGACTTTAAAATTTGGGGCTAATCTTGTTTCTGAGATAGTCTTTGGAAGCACGGGCGCTACGATTAGCCACCCCTCCTTCCTCTTGACACTTGACACTTGACACTTCGGACTATTTTGAGACACACGAATCCTTTTGGCACTTCACACTTAACCTTCAACTTTCCTTCTCATTCTCCCTGCTCTCCCCTCTCCCCTTCTCCGATATTCGACCTTAATCCTGATCAGGCCTAAAGCCCCTGTCGATCCTTCAACACAGGGAGAGGGGATATTTTACGAGGACTAGAATAGTATCCTTGATGTGCGTGTGATTGAGTGCGATGTGAACTGCGTCTACTCGCCATCTTTCCTGTCATGTCTGCCGATGACCCATTCTCCTTTCTGCCCGCGGAGCAGGCCAAACCCGCGAAAAAGACCCATTGGAAATCGAAACTGTTCTCCAAAGATAAGAACAAAACTGCGTCGCAGCAAAATCAAGAAATCGCAGACTTTCTGAGCTCTCGCCCCGCAGAATCAACTCCAGCTCCTCCACCTAATGACCCCAGATGCCTTCCTCCGCAAAACATTGACGCTCACCGCTTTCCCTCCTCACAAGACGTCTCCGGATATCCTCCCCCCAAGTCAGTAACTGCGCCGGCTCCAGCATCTGCGCCAGTCTTGCCTCGCGAGGACTATGCACCGTTCAGTCTCTCAGACCAATTTACTGCCGTGTCCGCTCCCACTCCTTCTGCTCAGCGCAGTGGTCGCAAAGGCAAAGGGCTACGCGTAGGGTTCAGCCCTCAACCTCCAGAAGTGATTGGTGAAGGAGGCGATGAGTCCGAATCGCCAACAGTTGAGATCTCGCGGGGTCGAGCACGGTCGGAAAGCAGGGGAATCCAGTCTGGCAACACCCCTGGGTCACCCTCGGACCCTTCACGATCGCATCTGCCAAATCTCCGACTTAATACATCGTTGGGCGATGGCGATGCGCGATCCCGTCAGGCAGCTTGTTCGCCTCTGCGTGATACATCGGATTGGAAACCACCGCTGATGCGCAATCCTCAGGATGCAGAATTCCTGAGGACGTTGCCTAGCGGCAACGGCTCTCGATTGTCATTCCGTGGCGATGCCGAGGCGATTGCGTTCGCAGAACGTGTCCGCGACAAGATGCAAGCGGAAGAAGGTCGTGCATTGCATCATCACTATGAGGAGGAGATAATGTCTCCTGGAGCTGAAGACGATGATATCTCACCTCCACCCAGCCCCCCCAGCCCTACCAGCCCGGAACCGCCCATCAAAGCCTACAACGCTGAATCTACCCACGAAACAGCCCCAACCGCGGGGCTTCCGCACGCGCCGTCTATTTCTATGTCGATGAAGTCTATTGTCGATTCGATTCGGAGCCCCTCAAGCCCCTCTACACATCGCGCACCCCCCAAGCTCAGTCCCATTGATCCACGAATGCCCACGAATCTTATCCCAAGTAGCCCCGGCAAGCTCTCACCAACACAGACCAAACCGCCACCCCAGGCACTGCCTGCATCAGAACGAACATCACCTCCTAGTCGCGAAGGCAACGAGCCGCCACACAGTGCCCAACCCCCCAAGTTCTCTCTTCGAAACATTGCCAACCAAGTTGGTGATACCGCATTTTCTGAATTCAAAAAGTACAACGCACGATACGAGAATTCTATAAAACTCGCAGCAGAGGAAGTCAAGCCATTGGTAGAAACATCGCTAGCAGAATGGATTCGGGCTGCGGTCTGGTGGTTTTTGCGAGGAAAGACACGATTGGAAGCGTATGCTCGTTCCCGTTCGACATCGCCACCCACTCACGCCAAGCAAGCCGTGATCGATCTTGGAAAGGCATTATGGATAAATGAGAATGTTGTGCCCAGCCATCACGAACTCTCTCAATACGGTGCCTTGGGCGTTGACGCCCTAGTGGCCGTTGTAAGTACGACCGGCGATAAGGAGTTGGCTGATCTTCTGGGTATTCATCAAACCCTCACCAATCACCTCCGATCGCTATCCATGTCCATCAAACGAAACAACATCCTCGCAGTGGTTGCCTCAGACGAAGACTCTCCCATCCAGGTGGATACTTGCGTTTGGCTGCGTTACCCTTTCTATGCGCCCGATGTCTCAGCAGTCTTATCTGGTGCGGCAACGAGATCAATGCTGGTAGATAACGCGGGCAAGACTCCAAGTTTGGTCCACATGATGCCTTTGGGTGACACAAGTCGATACTTCAGCTATGGTAGCATGTTCGTACAAGTTTGCGTCAGCTCCAGTGATGATGATGGACAGCAGCAATATGCCATGCCTTGCGCATTGACCATCGTCCGCGAACGAGCGGATTGGTACGTGTTTGCGGCAATTACTAGCCAAAGTCAACTTATCAACATTTTGATTCAGTCCGATCGCAAGCAGGGGCCGACTTGGGAGGATGTGGATTGGCAAGTACGGTCCAATTCTATGCAAGTGAAACTCCCCCGAGGATTCGAGTTGGATGTCACGTTCAAGGAAGATGATTTCAAGACTCTTTGGAATATCGTCAAGTACACCCAGAAATCGGAGAACAGTCTTCATCCGGAGGCAGGTGAGACTGTAGTATTTGAGAATACACTCAAGGTTTTCCAATATATGGATCCCGGCACACCAAAAGCGTTCCCTTCCGAACCCACGGAAAGATGTCGAGTCCGTTTGTTCGAGCGATCTGTCACTGTGACAGAAGGCACTGGTGCTCGCAATGCGCATCGCGGATTCCGACTAGCTGTTCTGACTAGTCCGAAGGTGAAGACTTTGAGTAGCATTCGCCATATCTTCGGTAACGGCTCACCGATAGTGTTCGGTCTCTTACGAGGAGAGGACGGTTCTCCTGCTCTTCTCCTTAAAGTGACCGAGGACGGCCGTACGAGATCTTTGTTGATGACTTTCCATGAGGTGGCCGAGCGTACGAAAATCCATTCCGTGCTGCTCGGTATAATTCCACGAGAGGGAGAGACCAAGTCGCCCGAATTCGCTCTCAAGTCATACTGCATTGAGCAGCCCGAAGATCCTTTCACTGGCCAGCCCACAGTCAAACACCTTCAGTTCCCCGCCGGAAGTGTTTCCGTTATCGACCAGGAGCATGCTTACGTCGAACATGGTTATGGACCGACAATTCTATCGGAACATTTGAGGGCCTTTGTAGCTACTGAATGGGGCTCTGTCACAGATCGTATCAACTTAGGTGGGGCTTCTCTCTTTCCTTTTTGGCTTGAGACGCGTTGTTAACTGTTTGTAGGGCCTGGTGAATTGAAGATTGGCTTGGATGTTCAGAGCACGACGAGCATGAGCTTGTTCCGCCCTGCGCAGCAGGATCTGACTCTGTCGCTTGCGGATAACCTCATTCGCCCTGAGCTGGCAGGGCAATTAACTAGCTTCCTCGAGAAGGTTGCCACGAAGCCTATGGTTCGCCGGCTGGAATTCCCCACCATCCAAGGCAAGTCTGCTTCTCGCCATTTTCTTTGGCTTTGCTAATCCTCTTGTAGATCTTCATGCCTTCGAGGCAGCTGTTACTGGCTTCCAGGTACTGTATGACGGGTGAGTCTATCATATCTAGCCATCTAATCAAGAACTTGCTAACTTAACTAGCATGGCGACATCGTTTACCATCTCCCGCCGGCGGAGTATGGTTCCTATTTACAAGAAATGGGAAGCTGCCCTGGCACGAGTCCAGGTCGTTCGACAAGAGAAAGTCGTTCAAATGCTTGTTTTCTTCGGGGACTTCCAGCACGGCACATGTATGAACTTTGTTCTTAAGGGCACCGATATCATGGAGTCCTTCATCCGGTCCGGCAAGTTCGGCATTCGTATGGTAGATGCCAAGTTTGCACTTCCTAAGAAGGACGATGATCCAGCTTCTAACTTTGTGTGCCTCGACATGCCCGAATATCCCATCGAGCACGACGATCTCACCATTACGTTCGACACAGAGGCTTGTGGGTTATATCTCTCTGGCTTGTGCTGCGCTCTCGCTAACTTCTCTTCGGTAGCACGTGCAAGCTTCAAGGCAGCTCTTCCTGGATCAGTGCGAGAACCATCTCGCATGGGCTCCATTCGCCGATAGATTCATTTGTTCTCCATCTCCTGTCATCCTCCCCGTGATTTCTCAACACGTGACGTAGCTCATGACGTGATTTCCCCATCTTCCCCTCCTCCCGAGATCGGATTCCGCATCTTCGGGTGTACTGTAACTTGCTTGACGGGCCCTTTCTGTGCATACATTTCAAGAACGAAACTTAGCATTTTTTTTTATTATGTCTCACTCAAGCGAAGCTATTGGCGCCTCCACGCGCTCCCTGCATGCTGATGATGCCTTGAACCTCGTTACTGATGTCGCTCCTCCTATGCATCTCTCTACTACATTTCGTTATTCCCATGATCCAACTCAGCTAGTACCGGCTGCCGATGCCACCCCTGTATGCATCTTGAATCGCTTTGTATGTCTCCTCGCCTAACACATAGCCAATGTAGGCCGACTATGATCCAACCTCCCATATCTACTCACGCATGTCCGCACCGAATCCTACCCGCTTCGAGACAATTCTCTCCTCCCTCCTACACGGTCAAGTTATCAGCTATTCCTCTGGCCTTTCAGCCCTGCACGGCGCCCTGACCCTCCTTAACCCTCGCCGCATCTCCGTCGGCGATGGCTACCACGGCTGTCACGGCGTCATCGCCCTCTTCACCCGTTTAACAGGCCTGCAAAAGCTTCCCCTCGACTGCTCACCCGACCAGCTCGAACAAGGAGACGTCATCCTTCTCGAAACACCCGTCAACCCCCAAGGCACTGCCTTTGACATTGCCTCCTACGCCGCCAAAGCCCACGCCCGCGGCGCATACCTTATCGTCGACAGCACCTTCGCCCCACCAGGCCTTCAGGAGCCATTCCAGTTCGGCGCAGACATCATCATGCACTCAGGTACCAAGTACTTCGGTGGCCACAGCGATATGCTGTGCGGTGTCCTCGCCACGAACCGCGACGACTGGGCCGCTCAGCTAAAATCCGACCGTCTGTTCATTGGAACCGTCATGGGTAGCATGGAGGGTTGGCTCGGCGTCCGCAGTCTGCGCACATTGGAGATCCGTGTGCAGCGCCAGAGCGAGAATGCGGCCCATCTCATTTCTTGGCTTGACGCTGCCCTGCATGCGCCGCACCCCACGCCTAATAGCGATGAGGCGGCTGTGCAGGCTGTTCTCGGTGAGGTCTTACATGCTAGTCTGCAGAAGGTTGAGGGTGACTGGTTGCAAAAGCAGATGCCTCATGGATTTGGGCCTGTTTTCTCCATCGTCATGAAGGAGATGCGCTTCGCTCGTGAGTTGCCGAGTAAATTGCATTTCTTCCAACATGCTACTAGTCTGGGCGGTGTTGAGACGCTGATTGAGTGGAGGACTATGACTGATGCGACGGTTGATCGGAAGTTATTGCGGATTAGTATTGGGTTGGAGAACTGGGAGGATTTGAAGGCCGACATGGCGAGGGCATTCCATGAGCTTGCGAAGTAGATGGTTTCAAGTACAACATAGGGTAGACTAGATCGAATGCCTAGCGGGACACTGGTCAGGACTTTGATCCCACTCGAATCTCCTCCAAGACAACCTTTGGTCATTTCCCCCGCCGGGGGCAATTCTATTGGTCATCCAATCTGCTCTTATCGGCACTTCCAGGGCTTCAATCACAACCTCTCCCACTGCCCTTTCCGCTCTCTTCCTCAGTTTTGCCCAACATGTCGGAAACATTCACAATTCACTACTTCGCAACAGCATCCCAATACACATCCAAAAATACCGAATCGCTTCCCGCACCCTTGAAATTATCCGCTCTGTTTGGCGAACTCGAGCAGCGATACCCTGGCATTGTCCACAAGGTTCTGTCCACTTGTGGTGTCAGTCTGAATGGGGAGTATGTTGATGTCCAGGAGGATGAGGAGGTTCTCATCCAGGCTGGGGGAGAGGTGGCTGTTATCCCGCCTGTGAGTTCGGGGTAGAGGTCAAAGGTTTTCCGTTGAAAACTTCTGTGCATGTTGGATGTGCTTCATTTATGTGGACGTGTCTGGTTTTATCTCAATGGGTTATTCATGCATGCGTGGCGAGAATCCTCGTCAAGAAAGACATCACGACGCCATTGATCCATCTCGTCCATCCCATGCCTCCCCTAGCTCCCGAGATACGCTTCTCCAATCCGCCAGCCTCAGACACCACCTGATCTTTTCCCTTTTTCTTTCTACACTCTTCACCGTAAGAGCCTTCCTGTTCTGTAGCCACAGGTAGACATTGCAAATAAGAGAGAAGAAACAGAGAATGCTCTCAACCCAATCCGAAAGTCAGCAAAAGCCCACAAATCCCAAAAAAAACCAGAAGCAGCACTCACCAAAGCCCAATACTCAAACCCCAGATTGCCTTCATCTCAATCCAAATCGCCTTGGAAGCCCTAATCCAGGAACTATCATCTATCTTCCCACTGACACTAGCAAGGTAACTCGGAAAGCCTCGACACCATAGCATACGACGTAGCATCCGTATCGCCCAGTTCTGCCAGCGGCGTACCTCTCAAGTAGGAGAGCGATTTGCCGACCTTGA